TTGGCAAATATTTCTCTCTAAGTCGATTAGTACCAATGATAGCTAACAGTAGAGTAAAATTATAATGTCCATTATTAATTTGAACAAAATTTTTCGTGTCAAATAGCTAATATAGCTAATAAAAACCGAAAAGTTTAAATAAAAGAATTAATTTCTATAGCTTAATTAAGAATATTTTATGCAGAAATAAAATTATTACAAAGTATGTTTGGATTGTTAACTAAATTATTTTAACTCACCAAACAACAATTTGTTATTCTTTTAGATTCCGCAAAATACTCTTTTTTTAGATGAACAATTATATCATCTCCATATATATAAGCCATTTTGATAAATTTCTGAGATTGATTACTAAACTTTTTCAAATCATCAGTACCATCTTCGTTCACTAATGATTTTAAAACGATTAGACACTTGTCAAGTTCATCATTGAAGTTTATTTCCAAAATATTTAATGTATCATTCAAGTTAACATAATCTTCGACGTTGGAAATTTTTTCATGCCAAATAATAAGATTACGCAAGAACCCCTTTTTTTCTCTGAAAGAAACTTTAACAGTAGAATACTTGGTAGTACGATATTTCAAGTCTAATACATCAAAATTATTTTCCTGCAATAAGTTTTTTATTGTTAAATAGAAATTATCCTTATTTTTATTATTTTTGGACATTATTTTAATTTGGAGTATATAAGAGAGTTCAAAAAGGAATCCTTTATTTTTATATATCACTTTGAATAAAAAACATTAAATGCTCCTGTCATAAAATTGCATTGTTTTACTTTTTAATTGAAGATACTAAAAATACGAAAAATAATTGTTTCATTTATGATTTATGAATAATAATAACAAGTAAACTTTCATACAAATAATTGTGTGGCGATAATGATGCTTATTATTCACCAAAGATTTAAAAACTGTGGTAAGTAATTCCTTAATCAATTAAAACAATGCAATAAATTAAAAATAATAATACAGTATTAACAATTTGTGTGTTGATTTAATTCAAAAAATTCAATTCAATTTATTTTAAAATGATACTTATAATAATTTTAAGTATTAAAATTTGCTAATTACCCAATTTTTTAATGCTAAACTGTTAATAAAATTAATTCAGAAATTGATATTTAATAAAAATATA